CGTAAATAAATTTATACATATTGTACACAAATGTTGTTGTAGAAAAGAGAGAAAAAGAGAGAAATGCAAGAGTATGGGTTTAATTTAATATAAGAGATCATAGTTAGCGGCACAAAGTTGACGCAGCGTGGGAGGTAAGTTTGACAAAAATTTTTACAACAACAGACTTTTTGCTCTGAACCAATTCGGTTTGTGTCACTCCAATCACTTACCTACCACACCGCACCGCATTTGCCGTACTTGCATAGAGTATGTGCAACAAGGTCTTAATAGAAGCCATAGATAAAATTGTGCAAACGTTAACTCACCCAGTGTGCGCACCGTCATCACCTTGCTCATCAGTCCGTCGCCGAGGACATTGCGTCCGACGACCTGAAACTCATACGTGGTGCCCGAAGCCAGGCCGTTGATTGTGACCTGTGTACTGCCGGATGGYGTGACCGAAATGGTTTGCCAATCGGCGGCGCCCGCTTCGCGATACCAAATCGTATAGTCCTGCTTGTATTCGGAGCCGCCGCTATAGCCGGGCATCCATTGCAGCGTAATCGATGACTCGGTCGCTTTGCCGGTGATGTTGTACGGTGCATGCGGCTGTGTGCCCTCGATGACCAGCTGCGTTACCGACATTAGTGTGGCCACCTCATTCGAGACGACACACTGATAGTAGCCAAAGTCTTCGCCGCGTAAATTCTCGATGGTTATATTGCCACCGGACACTTTGACACGGGTGCGCTGCGTTTCGCTCAAATCGCCGCCATCCTGACGTTGCCATTTGATGGTGGGCCGTTGTGTGCCCTCCGCTTCGATGGCGTCGCAATGCATTTCGACGCTGTCGCCCACTTTGCGCTGATACAGCGACTCCGGTTCGACGGTGAATGTGGGCGGTTTGCGTACGAGCACCTCCATGGGGCCGGATGAGCCCTGTGTGCCTTGTGCATTGTATGGCGTACAGGTGTAACGACCTTGATGATCCTCATTGACGCGCGTGAAGAGCAATGAACCGTTGGCCATGACGACGATATCCTTCATCTGATACGGTTCGAGTAGGCGTTTGTCTTTGGTCCAGGTGACATACTGCAGTGTCGGATTCGATTTAATGTAGCACTGTACGACGCCGGCCAAACGGAAGGGTAGATACTGTACAGTGGGTGTGAAGGTCACTTTGGCAGGATCTGTAAGAGGACAAGGAACGAGAGTGAGTTGAGGTAAGTGAACTTACGTATACACACATTTTTAAAGGATTCTTCGAATTAAAATGGAGTAGTTCATGGTTTTCATAATACTTTTCCTGCATTTCTTATAACTTCAATGTTTCGCATATTGTCCTGTTCGGAAGCGTATTTCGGAATTTGATATAATTTCGAAAATTGTGGGATTTTACAAAATTTTGAGGTTATGTCTGTCCGGGATGGAACATACAATTCGAAAATTATTTCTCGCCGAARCTTATTCCAATTCTTTCTGCTTTCGAAACTGTTTAGTTTTCTAGTTTCACAACACTTTTCTCTCATTTTTGATTTATTGAAAACTGACATTTCATTTTAAAATTTTGCTGTTCTCAGTTTGACTTTTCAGATTTCTTTCAGTGTTTCTGTGTTTGTAGGCCTTTTTATTGAAAAGGAAATATTTACAAATTCTTAAAAAAATAAGCTTCTAAACATTTGAGTTCGTTGTTTGTTATTAGTGGCTTAGATAGTAGTCTTCAAAACATGGCACATCAAATGGAGCTGGTTCCTTCTAACGTGGGACAAGCATCGGAAGGTGAAATGAAGATAATCGCTGTGGAGAAAGCCAACAAACGTAAGCGTGTCAACAGTTGAACAATAACAACCAGTTCCATAATAATATCTGTCGAACATAAATCTATAAACTACAGCCATCAACACCAGGTTCAGCGGCAAGGTCGACTACGACATGGTGCTGGTTGTGTTCAGGGACAGTTTCCTCAAGAAGTGGGACAAAATGACGCCATCGCCAGACACAGGTCTACAAGGTTTCGACGAGCTGGCCACAATCGGTTCCGGCTCCTTCGGCAGAGTGGTGTGTTCGAAACGAACGTCGCTTATTTTTGGTTAATACAATTTATTTAAGCTTACTTTTTGCTTGGACAGAAACTGGTGCGCGAAAAGTCGACGGGTAATTACTATGCCGCAAAGTTGGTGTTGAAGGAGATGATCGTGAAGACAAAGCAAGTGCCGCATATATTCAATGAGAAGCGCGTGCTGCTCAGCATAGACTTCCCATATGTAGTGATGATGGACTTTTGTCGCAAGGACTTTGATCACTTAATCTTCGGCTTGCCATTCATAAACGGCGGCGAGCTCTTCACCTATCATCGCAAGTAGGTGCAAAGAAATCATGCTCTTCATTCTTCTCAATCTTTTTTCTACCAGAGTGCGTAGATTTTCGGAGAAGCAGGCACGTTTCTATGCTGCTCAAATATTTCTTGGTTTGGAGTATCTGCATAATTTGCAATTGCTGTATCGCGATTTGAAGCCAGAAAATATATTAATCGATAGAAAAGGTTATCTGAAGATAACGGATTTTGGCTTTGCAAAGGTATACAAATRGGCACTTGACACTGTGGTACCTTAAGTACAAACCTCGCCTGCTTTCTATTTCTAGCGCGTTGAGACCCGCACTCTGACATTGTGCGGCACGCCCGAGTATCTGGCGCCCGAGTTGATTAAGTCCAAACCTTACTCCACCAGCGTCGACTGGTGGGCATTTGGTGTACTGATTTATGAGTTTGTCGCCGGCAATTCACCCTTTTCCGAGTACAATAGGGACGTTATGATGATGTATGGAAAAATTTGCGATGGCGCCTACAAGATACCAGCTTCCTTTCCGCCCATGTTAAAGGACTTAATTTCCAAACTGTTAGTGGTCGATCCCTCGAAGCGGTGAGTGTGTTTGTGTGTTATTAGATTTACGAAAAATGATCTAAACWATCATTAGACTCGGCTGCTTAACGAACGCGCAGAAGGACATTAAAAATCACGACTGGTTCAAGGGCGTCGATTGGTACGGTCTACTGAACCAACAAATACAGCCACCATATGTGCCKGTCATCTCAAACATGGAAGATCTGTCGAATTTCGACAAATTCCCCGAAGACAAAAAGAATGCMCCTAAGTCGAAGACAAACAAATATCCCGAAATCTTTGCCGAGTTTTAGTTACCTTAGCATTATATGTTATTTTCCTCGTTCAAATACAATTAGATAATTAGCRGTGACAGAGAATATACATAGGTATTTTTATTTTCGTTAATATGGTTTGTGTGTACTTACATTCTACATTTAAATAAGCCGAGGCGCTTTGCGGATCTCCAATGCCATTCGTCACCTCACACAAGTAAGTACCAGAATCGTCAGCGCTAACGGGATTTATGATAAGGGAACCATCTTTACGTATTGTAACGCGCGTCTCCAGTGAGGCCACCTCCCGCACGGGAGAGCCTTCGCGAAACCATCTAACGGTAACATTGCCGGGCATTGCTTTCGCTTCGCACGAGAATATCACCTTTTCGCCCTCGAGTTTGGTCTGATTAGTGGGCGGCACCTGTGCATGGCAAAATAGTATGCATTGCAAGCGAGAAGTAGAAGGGGAGAAAAAAAGTAAAAAATATGCAAATTGCGTTAGTGTCATTCAGTGAAAGATTTTATGTAGCGAAAAGTTATGCAAACATTTAAAAGCTATTAATTTCGAACACTTATTCTTTGCATAATGAGAAAAAGTTAACAATTACATTAAATTTATTAATTAAGGCAATAATTTAACTTAAAATATCTGTTATTTAGTTCATGAGTTTTTCACCAAAAGTAGCGCTTAAAAATTAAAATTAATATGAAAGTGATCAGTCCGCATGTTTGTAACCCGGTTAACTAAGATTAAAATATGCCAAATTCGTTTTTAGTGCCTCCCTAATGCTTTTGTAATCTGTCGAACAAATAAGCTATCTTCCACTCGTCAAACATTACTCTCCAACGAATGAAAAAAGCTGCCTTCCATTCGCCGAAAGCTACTCCCCAACGAATCGAGCTAACTGTACTAAATGCTAAAACGAACAGGCACCTTATGTGGTGCTACCCTGCATTAAAATGTCTTCTGGCRCATAAGCTATAGTGTTATGAGCCTTTCCTTGTGAGGAAATTATTTTTTAATGTATTAGAAATTTTGTTGCAATTCTTTACTTTTGCTTTTAATAAGGCACTATAATTGATTATAAGTCTGATGTGCTTAAAAAACAAGAACAAAAATAGAAATTTCTTTTGCCACTAGAACCATTCGAAACAGTAAAGTAACACTTATCTAAAATATGTAAAATAAAACTTGGCAGCACTGAATATAGCGGCGAATYGAAGACAGCTTTAATTAAAATAAGTATTCTAACAGTGGTAGACATAAGAAACAAACGACTATCATTGACTAAAATCGAAGTGAATCTCTTAGTCTGAGTCGGCTTTAACTACTATATAGCTGAAGGTTCAAATAACTGACAATATAAAGCAAATTCATAAAGCTTACGACACTAWCTTTCTGTCGTGTCTGAGGAATTATTTTAAATATTTCTGAAGGAACATTTTATCCTTACAGGCCTGCAGTGCCCCCTAAATTAGTTGGAAACCCGTAAACTTATCATAAGCAGCTTTCTTAAAATATGATGTAATTTTAGAACAGCTGAATATTGGTATAATAATACAATAATAGCAAAGTGATGCGCTGAACTTGTCCCTGTTTTCAGCCAGTGCTAGCATAAAGCTATGGAACTAAATTGAATGCAATTATTGATATATATCACCTTCTACGTAATCCCCACGAGATGTAATACACTTATGTCAAGGATTTTTCTAGTCCACGAAACACTCATCATAAGAAATTTCAGGGGTGGCCTTCAGCCCCTTCAGCGAATTTTGTTTAATCTTCGACCGACTGAAAAGGCGTTACGTTCCGATAATTGTTTGCATATCAAACTCATAAACCCATGYCTCATCGGCAGTTATCCAAAGAGACCTGTTTAAGATACTATTTTGAAAAATACATACTCAAAATATCCAACAAATTCATTTGAAGACTCGCGAGAGATGTTGAGCTCTCTTGACATCTTTTTAATACTTGCATAACGATTTTGAAGCACCATACGCAGACTTTTTAAATATTTTGATATTTCCATCAGTTAGAGAGGACGAAAGTCGTCCAGAACGAAACATGTCCTCAACGATCTCTCGACCGTCTTTGAGGGTTTTGTACCACTCGGTTTGGGTTTTGATAATACTGAATAAAAATTAAGGACACTCGTACCAACTTAGCAAAATAATTTTWTTTGAAATATTATTTACCAGAGGAATTTAGTTAGTATTTTCGGGTGTATTTTTGTCGCAATGTACATATATGTAAATATGTATATAGATATGGAAAGATTATACTCTATAACATATAAAAGCATTAG